TGAAATAACTCTACAAAAATTTAATTTAACAATATATAAACTTGCTCATTCTGACTGGAATCTTTGAAAATATATTTTATTACAAAAATAATGAAATATAATTTTTATATAATCCAGAAAAGTGTTATTAAACTTTGAGTGTAACTACACGCAATGACATCAGTTATATTTACTACTTATATAGGATACTTATATAGGAATACAACAACAAAATTTGTTTCTTACTATGTAATGATAGCTTTGCAAATAAGATAAAAGCAAATAATCTAATATCATATATACAGTTATAATATCAAGTATGCATTGTAACTATTTTTAGGCAGCGGTATTGCTCTATGCAGCCTATGGGCAATAAAATAGCTGCTGCGGATAACGCACATACGCGTACGAGCATGTCACATATAACAGCTACTGTTTGAAAACCATTAGTTTGAGCGTACAAAACAACCCGTTTTTGTTCCATCAGTACGACAAAACTACTAATGCGATAAGAATTCTGAAAACAAATTTGATTTCAGTATCATGTCACTTAGGGATCGGTCAGGCCACATTTTTGAAATTGTGATTCCTTCAACATAAAAATTTATTTTGAAAATTTTAAAATTATTCGAAAGTGAAAACTGTAATAAAGGGTTAAAAACATCAAAATTTCAAAAAATGACCTGACCGATACCTAAGTGACATGATGCTGAATTCAGATATGTTTTCAGAATTCATATCGCATCAGTAGTTTCGTCATACTGATGGAACAAAAACGGGTTGTTTTTGACTAAAAAGCGGTCGGTACCCAGACGCCTTAACAATACAATTTTTTATTCTTATAAAATTTTCTATTTAATAATGTAAAATTCAAACTTGAAGGTAAGCTAAAAGTTATGGTAACAAATTCAACTTTTTTTTTTTATAATAAACTTTCAAAAAATCAACTTTAATGAACCAAAAAAAAATAGGTCAAAAATTATTTTTTACACTGATTATTTTTAAAATATTAAAATTCAAAATCTGTAATAATTTTAAAACAATTTTTATTTGTTTTTAATTATTTTTTTATTGTAATAAATCAATTCAAAAGAAATATTAATAATTTCTAGGTAACTATTAGTGTTGAAATAAATGATTTTTTTTTTTCATATCCAATATAATAACCACGATAATTTACCTTAAATCTATGGTTAGTATTTACAATTAAATCGTAATAAAATATAACAACATAAATATTATTACCAAAAAACATAAAAAAATTTAATCTGACCTTGCTTCTTCATATTGCGATGACGAGTGTTTCAATGTGTCAATTAGTACAGTCGAGCCCGACGCAACCACTGTAAATTATATGCTTATAAGGTGAATTGAACACATAAACCATTGAAAAAGGCAATCCGAACAAACGACAACAGAATCCGTAACACTACACGTAAGTGCTAAAGGTAGGCCAATAAGCTAGTAACGCCTTCGCGACTATCGTCACACACTACCCCAACAGCAAAACCAGTTGTGGTAGGCGCGCTCTTGACGAGGAGAAGAAAACAGGCGCTCACGGCACCAACCTGCTTCGTCACGACCGAACAGTTTAAGTTTTTAATTTAATAGCATTTGAACTTTTATCATAAAATTATTTGTTTATTAGATATAAACATTTACAATTTCAAATTTTTGAGTTAATATACATGTATAATACACAAGGATTACAAATACAAGTAGCTAATTTATGACATCGATATTAGAAGGTACACACCATTGTTATTATCAATGGTAGTAAGACACATTGTAGTAAGTATACAGGATGATTTTTTTATCATAACCCACTCAATTACTTACAGAATAATAATAATTTAAACATTTTTTTTATAATTATCTTTAGTTACACATTATTCTTGAATTATTAACTATGTAATACTTTTTAAGTTCATCCCTTATGCCTGGTAAGGGTGTCAATTTTGTTTTTTTAAATGGTAACACATATTTTTAATTTAATAAAATGTTTGAGTTTTTAATTCAATAGTAAATGGCATTTGAATTTTTAATGTAACTTTATTTGTTAATTAGATATAGACATTTAAAGTTTCAAATTTTTGAGTTATTTTACAGGTATAATACACAAGGAATTACAAATATAGGTAGCTCATTGGTTTTTTATGACATTGCTGTCACAGTCATGGATTGTTTATTATCATTTATGACTATCATTAGATATACTTTTTGTATTGTCAGTTAGTGTATTTATAAACTCACAACAATATACCTTACTATCATTGATAATAACAATGCTTTGTACCTGCTAATATCGATGTCATAAAAAATCAATTAGCTACCTGTATTTGTAATCCCTTGTGTATTATACCTATATATTAACTCAAAAATTTGAAACTTTAAATGTTTATATCTAATAA